AAAGGCCTAAAGGTGCTTCCCCCCCCCCCCACCCCCCCAAAGAATTTCATTCCTATTGTTTGGTGGTTGGTATTTCATGCTGCAAAAACTTGTGACTTCTACATCTTGAAGATATGGTGATTTTAAAAGAGAAAGCTGTTTTCAGCACTCTTTGTTCTTGCATCAAGTGCTTTTTGCAGCATAACTTTACTGTAATTTTCAGCTCAGCTGTCTCAGTTATCACCCAGTTCTCTAAATTTTTCTTGTCACTGCAGAACAGTAAAGGATCTAACGTTTTATTTTTTTTGGTGAGAAACATTCATTACCATTTCTCAGTTTATTTTTTTTTCCTTTAATTTATTGCAAATATTGCTTAAGAGCTATAAGCACCTACTGCAGGTACAGTTTTACTGCTAAAGAAGTAAAACTGCCTTGGAACTTGCAAAGCACCCATTTCAACAAGTTTTTCTGCTGCTAACCCACCAGTCCCTGGAAAGAAGACACAACCTCATCTGGGCAGCGCCCAGAGCAGCAGCTCTTGTTCCCACAGCCTTGCTTTAGCTCTCCTTCCGTGAGGGCTGGTGAGATGGCTTGGTCAGCTCCTGAGTCAAGGTGAAACACCTCTGGTTTTGCTGGGCTGGATTTGTCCTTGCTGAATTCCTCCAGGCTTCACTGTGCAGCCTTGCAAGGCACGGGCAAAACTGAGGCTGCAGCAGCAGCAGGTGAGTGTCCCTTTGATACCTGGGTTTGGGGCATTTTCCCAACAGCCCATCCCAGCTTCTGGGATGTGTGTAGGAGCTCCTGTTGGGATCCTGTCCTCCTCAGCTTCCCTGGGAGATGGTGCTGCTGGCTGCAGGCTGCTTCAGACGGCCTGAATGCCTCAGGTAAGGAGCTCGTGCCATTCCTGCTGCTGCTCCCTGCACACGCACATGGGGCTGCGGCACTATTTTATTAATTCATCAGAAACACATGGCATTATTGAACTGGTACCTCTTTGGAATGATACCCACACCTTTTAGAGGCAGCCTGATGAGAGACTGGTTTGGAAAAGGCATTTATGTTGGCTTTTGTACAGTTTGTTGTCTGGAAGTGATAACAGGGGAACCCATCTCCTTGTTTTGTTTTTCTGCCTGCAAAGAAGTCTCTCACTCAGCTTTACCTGGCTCATATTTATGGATGAGTGGCAGTGCCATTGCTTGATCTTTTTTGGGATATTGGTGCTCATTTTCTTCCTACTGGAAAGTTGGCATTCAGCCTCCCTGCTTCACTGCTGTAGCATCATGTCACTCTTTATAATTAAAGAAAAACAAGTAGCCCTCCACTGAAGCAGTTTTTTAAAGGCAAATTTAAAGCAAAAAGGGAGGAATAGTCTTAAGATAAATACTACAGGAAGTAAATACAGCCCACATATCTCTGCAAATTGTTTAAATGCAATAAAGCCATAAGTCCATGTCTTAATACTCTGGAAGACAAGGAAGAGCTATGGAAATAGCAGTGTTTGTTACCAGGTGTGGTCTGGTCACACAACACAAACCTTACCAAAAAAAAATCAGCCTAATACCCACTAAAACTGGAAACAACTTTACAGTTATGTACATTCTAGTAGCAGAAGCAGTTACATGATTCAGGAGGAGAGGGAGAAGGGCCAGGTCCAGAGTCTGTGCACCAACCCAAGGCGGTTCTTGCACACAGAAAACACACAGTGCTTGTGTTGGATGAAAAAGACTTTTCCCTCTCTCCTCCCCAAAGCAGGTGGGCATCTCTCACTCCTGCCCATCCCCTCTGAGGCTCCCGCTTAGCGTGGGGGCAAAGGCTGCATTTGGAGAGCATCATAAGTGTCCTTGGTTGCTGCACTGAGCCCCTGAAAAAGAGAAAGCCAGAAAAAGAGGTGAGGGATGAATGTGAATGCTTTTTTCTGGCTGACTGACAGCAACAGGGTGTCAGGGGCTCAAGTCAGGAGCATCTGATCTTTTTTTTTTTCCCCTACAGAGGTTTTTACTCCTGAGTGATTCTTTAGTCTTTGTGCGGTGCAAACAGCTGTTACTTACCTGAAGGCAAGGTACATCCTGAATAATTGTTATGAAAATATGACTACAGCAAATCATCCTAACTGGTTCTGCAGATCTCTGGAGTACATTTTATATGTGTATTGTTAAGAGCTAACTGATGCTAGAGTGAGCATCGATAATTAAATAAACAGACATCAGATCATGAACTTTGTCCTCTGGACTTCTCCTCTTAGATTTGGAAGGGAAATCAGGTGCAGCTCTGGGTAAGTTGGCAGTGGGACCTCAGGTGGTTTTGAACCCTGGGAAGCAGCCCCTGACAGCCCTTTCAGCGATGCCAAATCCTTTCCTGATAGCCTGCTCAGATAAGGCAGCTGTAACCTATGTTGCTCATCCCAGAGCAGGGGTAGCTGAGGCTTCCAAGAGTGAGGAGTTAGTGAGACACCTGCTGCCTGCTTAGGAAAATTCCAGCTGCCTTTCATTTCCCTGTGCCTCCCTGACAGTGCCATTGGATATCCAACCACTCAGGAGGACACGTGAGGGGAGCAGCTGTGGGAGGTGGTGCCTACCTGGTAGAGACCTTCATTTCCTTTGCCTCGCCGCCTCTGCTGCTTTGGGAAAATAAAACAATTGATTAATAGATTAATCAATTAATAGATAAGATTAACAGATTGATTAATGGTGCTTTTCTGATTATGCAAAGATAAAGCAGCCCCTGAGTTCCCTCATGCTCTGCTCAGAGTGTACAGGATGTACCAGCTGTGCATGGCCTGGACTCTGCACAGGAAAGCACCTGGTAAGTCTGGACTGGCCCAGACAAGCTGCAAGGGATGTTAAGGAGAAAATAGAGGGTAGGAAATAAAACCAAATTGGTTTGGTTTGCTGACATATTTTCCTGTCATACTGTTAGAATGTTGCTATTTCTTTGATTCACTGTATGTATAGAGATTTGGCAGCATTTCTGTAGACACTGATTATTTAATAATAGATTGTATCACAAATGTGTCAAGGAATAGTGCTTGTTACTGTTAAAATTGCAGCAACCTATTAAATGATCATATATTTGGAATGGGACAAGGCCTTTGGTGTTCTTGTCCCTCCATAAACAGAAACATTCAAAAAACATGGTGCAACTTTACAGCCCCATATCTCTTAGACAGAGCTCGACTCTGGCAGAGAAGCATTAGAATAAAAAAGGGGAAGAGATTAAATGTTGCTGTTGCTTCAGCATTTCTCAACACTAAACTTTGTTTTGAAATGCCCTTTTATCATGTGTCGGAAGGAAATGAAAGGTTATATATATATATACACGTATATATATGACACTTTGACATAGAATAGAACCTGTGTAGGTCAGAGCAATTTTTCATTTTGCCATAAACAAGTGTCCCCAGATGGTTTGTTTTTGACACAAGCTCCCCTTCCCCAGCAGTGCACAGAGCTAAAGCTCTCTCTCTGCTGTAGCTGGAGACATGACCGATATGTGTCTTCCTAAACATTTGAGAGCAGAGCTCTGGGAAGGAACGACATTTCCCCTGTTCCTTGTCCGAAGTCACGCACAAGGAGGGGCTGCCAATTGCTCTCCTGATCCTGGAACTCCAGCCAGCCTCAGCAGCCCGTGGAGGGGAAACCATAAACCTGCAGCTCTGAACTGCTCTGGAGAAACATGCCCCAAAATCTTCCAATTTTGCTGGACCATTGCAGCACTTGACACCAGACTTTCCTTCAGCTGTTCCTCACCCATCTCACTCTGTCCTCTGCCCCCTCAGCCAGGGCAGCTGTCAGGGGTTTTCTGCCCAAAAGCTGAAATGTTTTTTGTTACCATGTTTTCACCAGGAAGACTCACCTCTCCCTTCATTCCAATCTCACTATATGCATCACCCATCTTGTCCTTCTGCAGTGACTGCAGGCAGAGAGGGGGAAAGAGTCAGTGTGATAACAGAAAAGCCAAGCCAGCCCCTGGGTAACCACATTTAAAACCAGGTGCTCTGAGTGTCTCATTCAATAGCAGTGAAGGTCTTGGAGACAAGCTCATTTCTCAGGCACGGAAGACCCAGAAAGACCCAAGATAAACATGAGAATCAACATTCCTGTATCTGTGTTTTGGAGCACAGACCACTACATTTAGCCAGAGTCAAATCAACTCTATCAAGAGGTTCCTAAGCAGCCCCTCTTAGCTGCACTGGCATTTGGCCTTTGCCAGAGAGCAGTCACAGGGGCTGGAGTCCGTGCACAGGAAATACTGCAGCAGCAATCACATGGGATGAACGTTGGTTAGGCACTAGCATTAGGCATTAGCAGGTATCTTGATCCAAGTTCTTTTCCACATCTCCCCACTGTTTTCCCTCCTGTTGCTCAGAAGTGAGCAGAAATTTTCTAGAAAAAGCAGAGGATCTGGGGGAAGAGTTGTGTAAAGGGAAGACTTGAAAAGCAGCTGTTGAGTTTTGAACCAAAGCTGAAATTGGGTACTGGGGGGGAAAGCCTCCTATGAACCAGTGTCTCCTGTTTCCAGCCATCCCTCCCTCTCTGCTCCCTCCAGTGGCCTCTACTCACAGTGTAGACAGTGTCCTGAGGGTTCTTTCTCCTCTGCTGTAAAACAAGAAAAAAGTTGCCCATACATTGCACTACCAGCATCCTCCACCACCTTGTATGTGCTTATGCATTTGCTCCATGGCACAGCTACGGCTCTATGGGCTTTCCCTGCCCATTCCAGTCCATCCTGCCTCCACCCATAAGGCTCTGTTCAGACAACTTGCTCTGGGCAAAATTAATTTCGTTTTAACAATTGGTAAAACTTAGTTCTTCTCTGCTCACTCCCTACAGCCGTCACCTGCTGATGCAGGAGGTTTTCCCTCCCTTTTCCTTTGAAAGTGATGGGCTCTGCAGCAGAAAGAGTTGTTTTGGCTGCTGCTCTGCTTTGTGGGCGCCTGTTTGATGGCATCAGACGCAGCGAGCTCTGTGAAACACCCACCGCTGCCGGGCCTCCTCCGCATCCGTCCCCGCCCGGGTGGCTGCGAGCTCCCAGCCGAGCGAGGGGGGCAGAGACCAAAGGAGAGGGGGAGCTTCGCTCCTGTCCCCCCGCGCCGCCCCAGTTACGACACAAAGCCATCGTTCCCTCCCCAGGAAGGCGCTCTGGTGGCCGCCTGTGTGAGCAGCGCTGTCACACGGCGTCACGGCGTGGGAGGCACCAGATCAAAGGACAGAGGTGCACGTTGTGCCAGGAGGTTACCTGGTGTCTCCCGCCCAGCTCGGGGTCTGCTCCTCGCTTCCCTCCCAGAACATCGTAATCGTCTCTGTGCGCGCGGGAGAGTTTCTGAAACAGGAGAGCAAAAGCAGTGGGTGGACACCGTGGAGATGAGATAATAGATCTTGACACAGAAATGAAAGGGAACCCAGCTCAGCTCACAAGGTCTATAACTGAACTAGAAATTATTTTTACTCCCTAATGCCACTGTCGACAAAAATGCCTACATTTAAGCCATGGAAATGACACAAAACTGCAAGCTGTTGCATCAAGAACCTTTCCTAAGTGGAAATTAGTTGAAAACTAGAGAGCATGAGGGGGAGGGACTCTAATTTTCATGCTTTCTCTCCCACTGGACAGCAAAGAGCCACGAGCTTCGTTTTCCTTGCAGAGCTGCTCATCTAAATATGCATCAAAGAGCTACAGAAATTTCATGCCCAACACAATTCTTAGCTGGGAAAGGTTACCTTGGACAAGGACAAAGGAGAGATTTCAGGTCAGAATAGCACAGTTAACAGAATGCTACTTGAAAGGTGACAGGCTATACTTAAAAGAAATTGCATTAGTGTTCATACATTAGAGTTAAACAGAACTCGTCACAGGATGTGGCTATGGTCAAAAGCATGAGAAAAAAAATTAAAGGCCAACTAGTCATAGCAAAAATAGCTGGAGTTTAATGCTGCCATGAATGAGCAGTGAGAAGGGTCAGACAGAGTCTTTTCTCTGTCCTCTTTCACTACCTAAAGATACTGCCCATGGTCAGGGCACCAGACAAGGTGCATCTCTGGTATGATCTGGTACAACAGGGCTTGCTGTGGGGCAACAGGAAAGCTTGGGAATGGAGGCACAGGGGTGTGGTGGCTCAGGCTCCTCACACTGGAGAGTGGAAAAGCTGCAGGTGCCCAGAGTCAGCTCCACAGCATTCCTTGGCATTTATCCTTTGCCCAGTCCACATCAAACAGCAGCAGCAACAGGGGCAGTGGCTGCCCACACGCCCAGAGCTCTCACAGGCCTGTTTGTTCCATGGGGCAGCACAACAAACAGCCTGGGCTCCAGCCAACCTAGGGCTCAGTGTGCCAAATCAAGAACAAACAGCCCAAAGACCTCTCCAGCATCTGGTCAGAGTGGTGACACCAGCAGCTTCCCCTGCGAGGTTTTACCTTTCCTCCTCACAGCTGCCATGCTGCACACGTGTACAGCCATCTCATTAGTACAGCCTACTCATTAGCTGGCTCATCCAAAGGTTTTCTGACCAGCAGGCAATTCATCGTCTCTAAGTGCCCCAAAAGGTCTGTCTGGATGGTGAGTTAGAAAACAAAGACCAGCAGTTACTCACGTTGTACACGTCATCCTGGCCTGGTCGCAGCTGTGGTTCAGAGGCCTGGCTGAGCTGGAAGAGAGACCATTCCATGAGCAGAGAGACAGTGGCTCCCTTCAATCCTTTCATTCCCTCTCTCCTACCAGCTACTCTCATCAGAAGCAGGGCAACCCATAAGCAGCTCCCTTTGGGGCTTCAGGCAGTGCAGACCCCTGCTGCAGCAGCACTTTTATCCACACACCAGCCTGTCCTCAGCAGCCAAGTCATTTTATTGCACATATCACCAGCTCATAAACATCTGAGTTTGTTCCCTACACATCTGCCCTCCTCAGATTTTATCTCTCCATTCTCTTCCTGTCATAATCTTGTGCTTCACTGGGACTTCGGTTCTCCAGTTGCCTGAAAAGTTGTTTGGCTTCCTGCAGGGAATCCCTGCATCCCTCAGGAGCAGCACTTGGCTTGCAGGGCTCTGGTGCCACCACAATAAGTTGATGTGAGTGGCAGCTAACAAAGAGATAAAGGATTATCCCTTCTGTAGCTGCTCTTTGGCTCAGCTGCTCGCAATACTTACGAGCAATCAATTGCTAAGCCAAAATTTCAGGTAAAAAGGGGCAGTTTTGGGTCAATGAGAACAGCTACTTCATGTTGTAGTCTTTAAAAAAACCCTGTCAAACTACAGTCTGTATTGATTTAGCCTTCTTGAGTTATTATGGCATTCAATTCTTTATTAAAAGTAACCTTCTAGCTCGGTCTATATTTAGGCATAGAATCATGTTTGTAGCAATTACACAAGTCCTCTCCTCTGGTTGTTTGGGTTATGTTGTTTGCAGCATCACACTCATAGTATCAAAGATGTCTGAATTATTGAGACATTTTAATATGTTCTTCACAATCTTGCTGTGTATCCCCTCCTCTCTTTCCAATGAAAAGCAGGAGAAAAAAAATCCACATTACTCTCGAGCAGTCACTTCCCATGTACAAAATTCAGAATCTCTGATGTATCCGGAAGTGTAACATCAAAACACTCTCATATACTCTTTCTCCCCTCCATTCATAAACCTTTGGAAAGAACTGCCCCAGGTTGCTCAAGTGGACACCAGAAACAGAGGGGGGGGAAAAAGGAAAAAAGAGAGAGAAAAAAAGCAAAAGAATGGAAAGGTCTCATTTTAATGAGACCACTTTCCAGCCCAGCTCAACTATCTTATGCCACCAAATCCAAATGCATCTGTGTTGGGTTAGACTGACCTTTGCCTTCACAAAAAGGGCTGTCATGACCACTGCATAAATGAAGAGGAATCCATCCAGCACGTAGCAGAGCCTGGGATCTGTGAGGCCAAGAACTGATGCAGCATCTGCACAAAAATATCAGATACATCAGCAAACAAAGTCATTTGTGTCGCTGAGTGCTTGGCAGCATAAATGTGGCAGTGCTGCATAGCACTCCATGGAAAAGTAATAGGCAGTGTGAGGGCAACACTGCCCCTTTGCAAAGGAGATGGAATTCTGAATATAACAATTATAGGATTAATCTGGTCAAAAAGGACCATGACAAGTCCAGCCTTTTCTCTAAACAGGTTCAGTTAAACCAGACTGTCCAGGATCTCAGCCAGCTGAGAGTATCTCCATGGACAGAAATGTTTGCAAAATCCCCCAACCAACATAGGACGTTTATTTTCTGGGAAAACCCAGCAGCATCTCCTGCAGAGATTCATGGCTGGGCCTGTTTAAGGCTTCCTTCATCACATATGTGTGAGAAAATACATTGTTTGGACAAAATTTTAGGGAAGGGCTTCTCAATTCTGCATTAAATGTAAAGAAAGGTTGACACCATCAAATTCAATGCTCCAAGAGTAACTTGAACCCATCGCCCCTCACATTTTCTGTGTGACTCCAAAAAAGGGAGCCTCCATCTTTTCAGCCACCATTTAAATATTTCTACACTGACCACCTCCAGTAGGACACATTAATATTGTTGTGTTTCAACAGATAAACCTGGTGAAACTGCTCCTGTATCAGTTCATAAAGATGTGTTAAGTTCACAAAATACAGCTAAAAGAATCAAAGGCTAAGTAACTGTAGATCCAATATGCAGCTCCAGGTCCATCCCCAAGGAAAAGCTGTATTGCACGATGATATAAAAAAACAAAACAAACAAATGCCGTAAAATTAATCTGAGTTGTGCTTCGTGCAGATTTGGAGTTCAAAAGAGAAAGACAAAAATTATCAATAACCTGAAAAGTCCTTTGATGAAGATAAACAATCACTGTTCCTACTGACAGCCTCACATATCGAGAAAAAATACCACAGAGTTGATTTGTTTGTCTGAATGAGGAGCTTGAATTCATTTTTTCCTAAATTGTGTATTTAGAAACAAATCCATGAAATAAATTGAGAATCTAGATGTTTTTCCTTCTTCCCCCCTGTTTTTCTATCATTTAAAAATATGGTTCAAAGCACTTTATGAAAAATATTCTTCACCACTTTTCCTCAGGACTATAAAATTTCATATATATGGTATGGGGTAAACAGAGACAGAGAGATTACATTATTTGCCCAATATTTTATATTAAACCAACAAACAGGCTGAGATTACCTTCCCAGAGCTTTTTCTCTAAACAGTTCACAGGACAATATTTTACACCAGCCTGGAGGCATCTGAGATGCTGCTGAAGGCAGAATTTTTGGGTACTCTTTTGGTATTCTGGCCCTAAATCCCCTCTTCTTGTACCAAAGCCAGGCACATTCATACAATCATCTCAAGAACAAATTTCTCCAGCACTAATAAAATCTCCAGACCGCGAGAAGCCGAAGCAGGAGACACAGAGGACTGTGAAGGAGATGTCAAGAGATGAGGAGGGGATTTGATGAGGAGGAGATGAAGAGATGAGATGTGCAGGGGATTTAGCTGTGGCTCTGTGCCGGCCATGGTCAACCTCAGCTGACTCTGCAGAGCCAACCAAGTGCCCACATGGTGCTTTTGTGGGGCAGCCTGGCCTCCAGCATCCCAGGTAATGGATTAAAGCTGTCCAGTGAGGGAAGGCCTGCAACTCTGGCTGTGATTGTTCCTGGAAAAATGTGGTTTGAGACTATGAGAAAGTCCAGTGTTTAGAAACAAACCAATAAAATGAATGGAATCATTAGGGTTGGAAAAGACCTCAGACATCATCAAGTTCAACCTTTAGCCAAATACCACCATGCTCACTCAACCACATTGTGAAGTGTCACATCCACTCACTTTTTAAACACTTCTAGGGATGGTGACTCCACCATTTCCCTGGGGAGCCTGTTTCAATGCTTAACCACTCTTTCAGTGGAGAAAATTTTCCTAATATCTCACCTGAACCTTCCCTGGTGCAGCTTGAAGCTACTTCCTCTTGTCCTATCTGTTAGCTCACGTTATTTCCTTCCTTAATACGTTTGACTTCTGTGTTCTTAAACAAAACAATACGTACAAAGCACTTTCTAAATAATAACCTTTGAAATGGGTTTCTGGATTAGAAAGTGAGAGAGAGAAAAAGACAGAAGGTACAAAGCCCTACTGAAAGAAAGGTCAAGGAGATAGGAAGCACAATGAACAAGTAGTAGTTGAAACAGTTTTCATCCATACAGGTGAACAGGACCAGTTTAGGTTTTTAAATGGCCAGAGGAGGGGTTACTGCCTCTTCAAAACAGAAGGCCAGTCCCTTAGGCACCACTAAAATGTACTTTCTGTCCCTCATCAGCCATGGCCTGGGGGCTGAGGCCAAGATCACAGGGGAGGAGCTGATAATGAGAGCTGAGCAGAGCAAAAGGTGCCAAGCCTGAGGGAGCAGTCACACAGAGCAAAGCACAAACAGTAAACAAATAGCAAAGCACAAACAGCAAGTATTTCACTGCTGATTCCCCACTCTGTTAACCTCACAGGTTACCCAGTGCCAACAGGGAGTTGCACAGCATCTTTACAACATTCACATACCAGAATTGAGAGGAGACAGTCACTGAGTAGAGCACTGCCCAGGTTTCCAGCCCTCCTCAATCCCAATTGCCTATACCTGGAACTCAGTCAGCAGCTGTGCTTCTGCCCCTGAGAAGTTTCCTCCCAGCACCTCGTCCTTCCAAAGCCTGGACTTTTGTTCCCCCCCTTTTCTCTGCTCCCACCCAGCAATGCAGCCCTGCTGTCCTCTGTGCCTGGGCACTCTCTCCTGCTGCTGCAGGTCCCTGCACTCCCAAATCTGGACCTCGGGCTGGCACCTCCCTCATCCTGCTCCACACTCACACTCCCAAAGCAGCTCTGCCAGCACCTCTGCAACAACCCCCTGTGGCCTTTTACTTTCTGAAATATGGGAAAAGAAAAAAAAAAAGAAGAAAAAAAGAAAGGCAATTTTTTGCCAATATCTGGCTGCTGTGGACAAGCAAGCAAAAAAATAACCAGTAGTGAGAGCCCAAGAGCAGCCCCAGGAGCCGAGGGAGAGGAAGCCTGGGGGCTGGCGAGAGAGGCTGCGCTGTGGGTGCTCGCCTTGAGAGCCCTGCGTGGTTTCACAGAATTTCAAGCCCCTGGTTCAGGCCCAGCACCAGCTGTCTTGCACAGGGCAGCAAGCTTAGCTTCAGCCACCTGCCCACACTGCCTGCTGCTCCAGTCCTGCAGAGAGACAGGGAGTCCCAGAACCCACGTCCAGACACAGCCACCCTGCACCAAAACATGACATGAGGGAGGGATGCTGCACCCCAAAGCTGGCTGGGTCCAATCCACAGGGCTGGCCCAATGCAGCCAGTACCAATGGGGATCAGCTGAATTGAATCACTAGAACATGGTCTGGACCCTTGAAACATGCCAGAACATTTCTTTTAGTATTTTCCTCCTCCAATGTTTTTAGTGTGCATCTGGATTGGGTTAGACCATGGTTCCTGATAATAGTTTGTGAAATACAGACTGTAAAAGCTGAATTACTTGTAAATCCAGATCAAATCTGTCCACCATAAATTTTTTTCTCTCCCATGGCTGTTATTAAGTGATTAATTTAAGGGTTTTACTTTTAGGGGTTACCAAAATTCAGTAACACAGCTGTAAATGAAGCATTTTATCTTCCTGGAAACAGAGTTTCTCAGTGAAGCCCATGAAAACCAATCCAGCCCAAGAGATTTATTGATGCAGCTGTGGTTACACACAAAGGTGTTTAAAGGCAGGTCCTGTAGGCTCCTCTCCCAGCAGCCCAGAGCTGCCACAGCTGCTTGCTGGGGTAAAGGAGGCAGCCTTTCACAGACACCACCATCTTCCACCAGCAGTGATCCCTGTGACTCTGGATTGTTGCTTTTACCTCACTTCTACCTTGTATCATCCAAGAGCCTCTTGCTGCAGGTTTGTGTTTCCAGACCCCTGTGGAGACAGAATTCCACAGCTGCAGGTGCCACTGCCACATCAGGCACCTACCAGCCTCTCTCTCTGGAGGCTGACAGCAGGGAGATGCTGGGTGTGATGGATCTCGCCTCACTGCTGCTGCTTGAGAGCAAAATTCTGAACCCAAGAGAGCTCCCTGGGCTCGGGGCAGAATGAGGAGAGAGAACAGCACCCTCCATGGTGCTTCACTTCAAGTGTACACAGGCCTGCAGCAAAAAAAAGAGCCCAGACTAATTGCCTACAAGTTAGCCAGCTAAAATTATTACAGATAATCCTGTTCGTAAAGGATGTGTCTATCATGGGGTTTGTTTACATTTATATATTTCTATGGCTTTTTCTCACAGATATAAACAACAAACAAACCTGTGATCCTCCAGGGCTGAAGAAGCAGAGGCCAAATTCTCCTTCACTTGCAGAAGGCAGAGGGTCAATTAATTTGTCATCAATATTCCATCTCATATTTGTGAAACAGCACAGCCCAAAGCAAAGCTTGTGCCCTTGAAGTTCAGCATTAGAGTTCATCGTTGTTGTTAGAGGAAACTGCTGATATGATCAGGATTCAGGTTACAAGACTAGATGTTGGACAGCCTAAATAATTACATCTAAAAAGGAAAGTATTTTAGGCCATTAACTCCCACTGTTTTGCGCCAATGAATGTTAGCCCTATGGAAAGTCATAGTAAGGGGCTTTAGGATTCTTGTGAGCTCTTCATACTCCTTTTAGGATCCCTTTCAGGGATGCACTAACACAAAGTTCAAATAATTCAAGTTTCTCTCTGATTTATTTGGAAGAAATAGAGTCAAAAGAAGGAAAATATTATAATGCCCCAAAGGGTTAAACATCGGTCTTCCTGCCCATGGCAGTGTGTTTGGAACTAGATGATCTTTAAGGTGCTTTCCAACACAAACTTTTCTATGATTTTCTAGTGCATCATGGAATAAAGACTAATAAAAAAAAGTCCAGGGTACTGTAACAGGA